ATTCAGACAGAGAAGAACGCTGCCATAGGCTCAGATAGTAACCATGAGGCGAGCTTTTTTCATTCTTGCCTTTACTTTTCTTTCCGTCTCTCTTATTTGCTCTTCTTTCCTTCTCTTTTTTTTACTTTTCTTTTCCTTTCTTCTCTTCTCTTTTCTTTTTTTTTGAACATTAATTAACCACCCAACAGCGAGAACATAAATGGGGTAAGGAAAAAAAAAAAAAAAGGGGTAAGAATCCTAATTAAAGAAAAACAAAAAGACGGCGTTACCCTACGGGGGACAAGGGAGCAAAGGAAGAGAGGGAGCTATAAAGAAAGAAACATAAGAAGAGAGAGAAGAGAGGAGAAAGTAGGATAGGGTACGGTAGGGCGGGTAGGGTACATTATTCCTCTCCGAGAGGAGGGGACCAAATGAACAGAGACGGAGTTAGGAAGAAAGGAAGACGGCAGTGAGGGAAGCAAGCGGGGTAGAGTTGAGTAGGGTAGGGTAGGGTAGAGTTGGGTAGGGAAGGGAGGGTAGGGTAGGGTAAGATAGGGAGGGTACGGTAAGATAGGGAAGGGAGGGTAGGGTACGGTACGAGGGTAGGGTAGCGTTCTCCTATGCGAGGGGAAGGCAGCAAGCGACAAGACATAGTTCGGACGAACGCAAGAGAAGGGCAGACGAGAGGAGAGGTACAGCACTAATCTGCGAAAGGAAGGGAGCAAGTAACAAGCCGGAGTCCGTAAGAAACAAGAGCATGACAGGTGAGTAAGAGGTAGGTGTAGAGGAGGGTAGAGTAGGGTAGGGTAGGGTAGGGTAGGGTAGGGTAAGGTAGGGTTGGGTAGGAGGGCAGGGCAGGGTAGGGTAGGGTAGGGTAGAACAGAAAGGCAGGGTGGGGTAGGGTAGGGTAGAGGGAAGGGAGCAAGTGCACAAGCCGGAGTTCGGAAGAAAGCAAGAGAAGGACAGGTGGGGAGGAGGTAGGGTAGGGTAAGGGTAGGGCAGGGTAAGGGTAGGCTGAGGTATTGTAGGGTCGGGTAGGGTAGGAGGGCAGGGTAGGGTAGGGAAGGGAAGAAGGGCAGGGTAGGGTAGGGTAGGGGGAAAGAAGAAAGTGGACAAGCCGGAGTCGGGACGAAAGTGGACTAAGGACAGAGAGAGGAGGAGGAGGTGGGGTAGGGTAGGATTATTAAAGTGATGGGGGAAGGGAGCAAATGAACGAGACTCAGCTGGGAAGACAGCAAGAGAAGAACAGAAGAGGAGGAGGAGGAGGAGGAGGTATGGTAGAGTAGGCGGTTTTAACCTTGCGTCCATGCTGGTATGTTTACTACTGAGGTGGTGCAGGCCCTTCAGAAGAAACTTGACATGCTGCTCTCGATATAGAATGACACTGTTTCCAGGAACACGCCGAGAATGAAAAAGGATTTTTATTTTACAAAAAAAAGGAATAAAGAGCGGAAAACGATCACGCAACCAACAAAAACAGACAAGATTTAGAAAAAAAAAGAAAATAAAAATCAAACACTTCTCCTCTCTCTTCCAGATAAAGTTTTTTCTTCCGTTATTTGTTAAGTTCAGCCTTTTTTTTTAGTGTGTTTAAAAAAAAAATTGGGCCATTTCTCGATTTATGCGTGTCATCCTTGCGCAGGGGCCATTTGCTAATCTACCCTTCTCTGTATCGTTGAACTTCCAATTTTAGCGGATGTCCCGAAGGACTGTTTACCTTTTTCCCCTCTGTCCTGTCTCGTTATTTGAACTTGCATCTTCTTTTCCCCCCCGGCTCCAAATTAACAAATACCTACCGTCTTCCCCCGAACACAACGCACCCTCATTTTGGCTGTATCTGACCGGAAATATAGCTTGTATACATTCATTTTTAGGGTGCGTTATGTCGGGGATGACGGTAGTGACAGTAAGAACAACACAACAACAACAACAAAGGTTTCCTCCATTCGATTACTTCTTTTTTTTTTTGTTTCCCTTTTTTGTCCGTTTCTGATTAACCAAGAACAAGCACTACCCTCTCTTTTTTTTTTAACCACGACTAGAAGACACGAATCACGTGGAAACCAGCGGCAAGTGGAACTCGATTTCACGTTGACGTCAATGGCACGTGGAAGCCAATGACACGTCGAAGTCAATGACACGTCGAAGTCAATGACACGTCGAAGTCGATGACACGTGGAAATCAACGACGTGGAAGTCAAAAGACGTGAAAGTGACGTGAAAGTCAAAAGACGTGGAAGTCAAAAAGGGTCACCCACGTGTGTGCGTGGTTAAAAACAAGGAAAAAGACATATAAGTCAAACGACGTGGAAGTCAAAGGACGTGAAAGTCAAAAGACGTGGAAGTCGATGACACGTGGAAGTCAAGGACACGTTGAAGTCAATGACACGTAAACATGGCTGACACGTGGAAATGGGTGACGTTGAAATCGATGACACGTGGAAATCCAATTGAGCACCGGAGGATCTTGTCTCTCTCCTCAGTCATTTTTCTGTCGGTAAAGGGAGGTTTTCTTACCTGCGCCTCGTCTGATCTATATGTACGCTAGTCATTTGTCAAACTATTCACTGAAATGCCAGCTGCAAAAAAAATCACTACACAAGGTTGGCACTATGATCGTGTTGTGGCACTGTAATCGTGTCGTTCGTTCCTACACACGGCACGATTCAATTTTCATTTTCTTCAGTGGTCAAAAAAAATTAATCTTCATTTTCTTTCAGTGCGCACACGAATACCCAAAAAAAAAAAAAAAAAAAAAATATCAGCTTGGTGAGACGATGGGGATTACGAGATGAGAATGCTCATCGAGCAACACGTGGCACACAAATAGTGAAGCCCACAACAATCATATCACAGTGCCAATCATAGCGACGATTGCAGTGCCTCCCAGAGGATGGCGATGACGATGGCAATGCTCATCAAGCAAAAAACGAAAAAGCAAGAAGAGCACACAATACTGATGACCACAACAATCATCACAACATTGGCAATCATAGCGACGATGGGAGCGACTGCCAGAGGATGGGGGGCGTGGTGATTCAAAACCACCACTAACTTATCGCGGGCAAAAACGCGAAGCTCGATTAATTTTGGAAAAATGAACGGATCATTCCGAGATCTTCGGAGGCCAGGGCGCTACCGGACAAAAAAGGCTGGCGGCGCCAGCAAAGAGGGGGGGAGAAAAGAAGAAGTAGCAAAGCTTGGCGCGCAGTTCATTTCCGCCTCGGCAAAAGGAGGCCCCAGAGGTAGTGGTGGTTTAAGGAGGATGGCACGGTGGTGGCAACGACCACTGCCGCGTTCACCTGAAACACAACGCACCCTGATCATGAACGAATACAAGCTACCTTTCAGGTCCGGTACAGACCTGATGGCGATGCCTTGCATTCGGGGCAAGTAGACACTCAGCAGAATCGCCGTACCAATCATGGGGATGGCGATGATCGCTACCTGGAGTCAGCAAAACGACCCACAACTTCGGCAACAACGTTTCCGATCATGATGACGATGATGATGCATGATGATGATGAAGATGATAATGATAATGATGATGATGACGATGATTGACAAATATCATGATGATCCACTCAAACGACTAATTTCATAGAACGATAAACGATGCAATGATGATGATAATGAGGAGGACAATCGCAGATAGCACAATCAGAAGGTCCCGGTTTATCGTGTCTCGACAAGGAATCGGACGACGACGACGACGTTAATGATGAAGATCATGTTGTTGACGACAACGATGGTGATGATAATGATGGGTGATGATGATGATGATGATGATGATCACAACCGTCGGAACGGGACTGGCAACCAGAAACCTGGAAATTCGTGCAGCTTTAGCGCATGGCGTAAAGAACGCCAAATTTAGAACAACGGGTCGGGAAAGGCACATCGAGAAAAAAAAAAAAAAAAAAAAAAGGAGATATCTAGCAAGAGCAAAATGTGAACAGTCGTAGGGGCAAGAAGAAAAAAACAGATGAGAGACACACGATATTTGCTATTTGCCAGAATGTCAAGTGCTAAGCGCCTACCGTCTTCCACCGAACATCATTATACGCACCTTGATAATGAATGCATACAAGCTATCTTTCCGATCCGGTACAGACATAATCAGGGTGTGTTCTACTCGGGGGAAGACGGTAGTCATCGGAACGATCGAAACTCCAGAACCAATCCCAAGGCAGGAAAGCGAGGTACGTGGGTCAACAAACAGAAAAAGAAAAAAGAAAGCCAAGTACGGAAGAGCGGCCAGGTGAGGGCCGACGGGGGAAAAGAAGAGGGGAGAAAAAAAAAAGGGGGGGGGGGAGGAAATAATCCACGTACTCGTCGCAGCTGACAGATCTTTCAAGGAAGTCTCCATAGATTTTGCCGATAACTTTCTCGACTTTCTTCTGCTGAATCGTCGTCTGGGAGAGGAGCTTCCGCCGCCTCCTCATCTCCAACGTGCGTGCACGAATTCGTTGACGTCCCACACGATCGACAAGTGTGCCACGTGGCGTGCGTACTGGCAAGCCCGCTCACAAAAAACAACGTGGTGGGTTGGACATCACACACTCCACACACAAGACTTACAGGACACTCAACGAAATAGCAGCATCAGACTAACCAGGCTCTCAACGAAATGACTGAAACAACCAGACCATGTGTGTAGAGCTACCGGTAGGGAGATGACCATACAGGGGAAGGAGCTCCTGCAGGTCGGGACCGCAAGCTGAAGTAGGTTGAGGGCCTGGTTCCCCACGCCACTACTACGGGTAGGCGCAAAGCTGGCAGGCGTGAATTAGGGCCTGATTCCACACGCCGCTACTACGGGTAGGCCCAAAGCTGGCAGGCGGCCTGATTCCACAAATTTTTTTTTTTTTTTTCGGGGAGGCACAGCGACTGGCCACTCAGATGATGCTCGGTCCCTCTGCCACCGCTGTCCCGTGGCCGGTGTCCCCCGTTGGGGGTTCCCTGAAGGCAATCAAGGCCACCCGATGTCAGATTAGACACAATATTGAATTTAGCTGGGCTGGTTAGTCCGATGATAATACATCAAGCCCATCGCCCTTTTAAAAAAAAAGGAGAAAAAAAAAGAAGTTTCCGGGGCCGGGGACCCCACAATTCAACCCGGGGCTAGGTCCCACTTGCACGAATTAAGAGATAGAGACCGTAGATAGCCGAGATCGACGGCCGAAATCTCCTAATCCGTGCAAGTGGGACCTTGCCCCCGGTGTCGCTGATGTAACTTCTGAACCTAATTGTTTGCTGGAAACCGGGTCCAGCGTCCCATTGAATACGTACGAACTGCCAGTACCTGCTAAATCCAGTCCTCTCAGCTACCGATGCCAGACCAACTTACAAAACAAGACTGGTAGTATCCTTGCTGCAAAATACCTGTTAGCTGCTCATAACGAGGTGGCCTGCCCCTGGTGCGAGAGCCAAAATGCCAATATTAACTTACCTTGGTCGTTGATGGTCGCCAGAAAATTGTTGATGCACCAGGTCTTCCGGAACCACAGGTTGCCATTGTCACTGGATGTCCCTTGGAGAACCTTACGATGCCAGTCAGCCCAAATGGTTCTGCGTATGTTCAAAAGGATTGCAGCCTTTAGGGCCAAGAAGGAAGGTTTCTCTTCCCTAAAAACTGCAGCGTTTCTGCTCAGCCACAATTCCCAGAAGATGATGGATCTAATGACTTGGGCAATATAGCCCAGGCCCTGGGAGGAGCCATAAGCGCTTGGGATTATCCCTAAAAGAATCCATTCCTCAGTCCTTTTGAAGTCCTTGCCTGCAAGTTTCTTCCACATGGATTGCCACCATCCCTAGATACTAGCTGAAAACGGGCATGTGATCCACAGGTGGTCTGTGGATTCCCAGGCCCAGTTGCAGCGAGGACACTCAGATTGGATGTTTGCTCTCTTTCCCAGTAGCCAGACTGCTGAAGGCACCACTTGCAACATCTGTAGCCATAGCAGAGTGGCTTGTTTCTGCGAAGGCAGTATGCGCAGTTGTGACCAGTATTGGTGGATTTGGTCATGGTGCTGCGGAGCAACTGTGGTTGTAAGATGTTGTAAAGCCAACTCAGTCCGTGTAGTATACATCCTGGCACGAATTTGTCTGAGACCAGTTTTTGCTGTGTACTGATCAAGTGTGGTTTGGTGGCCATTCTTGTCAGTCCAACTTGTGCTCATCGGATCGAGCTTCAACTCCATAACTGGGGTAAGTTGTGCGTTGGTAGCCAATGACACCTTTCCGGCTCGAACGATTTCAACAACTCGTACCTCCATTACTGTCCATCTGACTGGCCGATCAAACTTGTCCCTGAACTCCAAGAAACGAAGGTTGTCTTGACCGGTTACTTCTACCAATTCCCATTCTTCCACTTTGTAGACTAATTTCGTATCCACTTCTGAAACTTTCCATAAGACACTGTGAGCCAATCCCCTTTCCGGTTTATACCACCGGCTGGGGGGGGTTGTTTTTCTTCTGAATATCATATCTTTCCATTCGTCTGGGAGAGCCTTAATGAGGCCTCTTCGCTGTTCAACGCTGGTGAGCATCCCTAACTTAGCCTTCAGGTCCTGTTCGCTGAGCCAATCCTGGGACTGTTCATCCCAGAGATCTTCCACATGCAGAACATGTGACGCCCAACCTCACGCCCAGCGCGACTTCCTGATCGGAGTAGGATGTGGGCCTGGAAGTGCGAAAAGGGGTGTGCCAAGGATTTTTGGGGAAAGTGGAGTCCCAGGCCGGAACTGAGATCTCCTGTGGCAGGGTTTTTCGGGGGCACGAGTGCAATTTGACGAAGGGGGCGACCCGCCTCGGTTCACAAGGCAGATGGTAGGCACGGGCCACTCAGGGCCGAGCGAGCCACTGGTTCCGGGTACGACGGGTCGTGGAAGGGTTTCTCCGGGGTAGGTGGGGTTCCAAGGGGTCAGGCCGTCAAGAGTTGCCACGTGGCGTCAGTCGTGGCGTATTTGGGTTGGGCCTCCGGGATTCCGGGGTCCTCGGATTGTCGCGTTGCCGGCAGTTTCCGCAGGGCGTACTCGGCCAGTATGGGGCTATGGCTGGCCACGGAACGACGTTGAGTTGGTAATACGGAAGAAGGAGGCGAAAGGGAGGGAAACTGGTGGTGATGACGACAAACCCGGGGTGGATGAAGTAGTAGGTATGGTCCGGAGGAGGGAAATCAGAGCACCGGGGGGCGCTAGTGGTGGCGCAGTGGAATTCCCGAGGACACAGTTGGTTCTCTGTTAGACAGGGGTATCTTTGTCGGAGGAGTTCGTTTACCCACGGGGTGAAATAATCCGGGTCGTATGATGAGTCGGAATTCCAGGATTGCGTCATTGTGTCATTGCGGTATTATGAGTTCCCTAAGGGCGGGTCCATGTCGGTCGCGGTCGCCGCGTGCGAGCTCGTGCAGGCCACGCGAATGGCGTCGGACTTACGCGTGCTCGTGCGGGACGACTGCGCCGCTGCGGATTCCGGGACGGCCATTCCCAATCGGATAGGGCATCTGCGATCGATGATCCTGACGAATCGACGCCCGGGGATATATGTAAGTGCGCAACTCAGATCGCGTTTTACACGTGTCCCCGCGCGGCGTTCGCCAAGCTCGGCATCCGACCGTCTAATCACTCCGTGAGGTCCTGAGCATGCAAGATGCAACGCAAACAGCTCGATCAAAAGGCAAGCAAAGACAAGGGCAGAGTTAAAAATTCCTATTCTACACACGAGTGCATCGAAGGCGACGACAAAAGCAAGGACAAGGATCCCTAGCAAAAAGATAAACAAGCGAGCATAGCATCCATACATCCATACATTCAGCATCATACACACAATGCTTCCAAAGTGGAAATCGCAAAGATGAGTGCGGGCAAAAATCCAAGTCCAAATTCTGAGGAATTGAAAAATGGGCGAACCGCCCGAAGCCGGAATCAAAATTTATGTACACGAGACAGGAGGGAGAAAAGATAAAAGAAACAGCAAAACCGCGTGCATCAACCTCAGCTCCCTCTTCCTCTCTCTCTCTCTCTCTCCGATGCGGACAGTCCGTCGTCGCGCACCAACCCACAAAGTCGTCACCCCGCTTAGTCCTCCCGCACCCGTCAGGTTCACCCGCACCCACAGTCCGTCGTGGCCAGTGTCAACCCCGCGCATTTGGCCTCAGCTCGTCGGGTCGCCTGACTCTTGTTCCACTCACCTCTTACCTCGCTCGTGTGTCGACCCTTTCTGATCGCGCAACCCCGAGCTTCCAACAACTGGTTAAGAGAGTTAATTAATCGCGCAACCGAGATTTATAGCGTGCATGCATGCGCGAAAAACACGATATTACCAAGACTTAGAGGGGAGATTAGAGAGGGAGTGCCTACGTTCTGCATGACCGGGCCGCGACGTGGGGGACGTAGCCACTCTCCACGCATCGATCTGAGCATGCAGTCCGTAGTTTCAAAAACGCAACAAAAGAAAGAGAAGGAGGGCGGGAAGGACGAAGAGCAAGAAGAAAGATACAGTTACAATGGCGCCAACCCAAGATTACAGTTACACACCCGATTAGAGGCGCCGACTAATCAAAATTTCGTTGCAGCCGCAAAAAGAAGCGAGTAAGCAAAAAGGGCGTCGCGTGGCAAAAGAAAGTCCTAATTACAAAATCCTTAAGTTTCTAACTAATGCGAAAAGCAAAAGTACAGGTTGAGGGAAGAAAGTCCGAAATTCCGAGAGCCATCGGGGCTCAGCAAAGTTCGAAAAAGAATTCAAAAAGAACGAAGCAAATTCCCGCGTGATGTCCACGCCTAAAAGTTTGGAACCGAACCAAGGAAACGATGTCAGCATTTATTTATCGCGCGCGTGGGGGCGCCGCCATCCATTCGATCAACCAATCAATCAACTGGTCACCCCAGGACACACCCAGCTCCGAACTCAGCCACCGAAAAGAAGCGCTAAAAAGACGAAAAAGCGAGGATACTGATGTAATTTCCCACCGATCCCGATCTCCCGTAATTGGCCCAACCTTCCTAGCTTAGGTCCCCTCATTGCAACTGCGCGGAAAGTCGCGCGCTACGGAAAGTGGTTCGTCACAGCCTCTCTCTATCCATTTCCTCCCAAAGCTCCCATTGTTGTTTGAGGCCAAGAATATATTTCTATCTTGATCTATTATTCTTACGTTCTCAAACAGAGGTTGGCGTAACATTTCACATCTAGAACTAGGGTTGGTAGAGTCACGTGGCCTAATCTTCTCTCATGCTGCCCAAATGTTTGTCCAAAGTTCTGATTTGGGCTTACGTCTGGCATAAGAGGGGAGTATAGCACACAATCGTACGTTCGAAGGCCGACTCAGATTCCAGTTGTCTCCAAGAATTTGTTCAGCCAACAACACCCAATCCTTTGCATCAACATCTAGTGCATTTTTTATCAACCATTTAACCAGGAGGGTGGCAATCTGATCTTCGGGATCTATATTTCCTAAGCCTCTTTCCTCCCTTGGGATGCAAACTGATTTCCATGCCACTTTTGTGATGAATGAATCTCCCTGTTTTGTTGAGTGTTTCCATAGTTGCCTCTCCGCGTTGCGCCTGATGAGGTTATATGCTT